TCAGTCTTAGTAACTGGATAAGAAACAGATGATGTGTAAGGATCTTGAGGTGAGAGCTTTGATAGATTTATTTTCTAGAAGATTTTCTAGGTAGTTAGGAGCAAAAGCCTCAAACTTAAATTTTAGCCTAAGTAACATAAAAGAAGGTATTAATCAGATAAAAAGCCCACAGAGAATGTTTCAGCTGTAGCATGCCTTACCAGGTGGTCTCCAGCAGCTTTGACATCAAATTTTTCTTTAGCAAACAAGGTAAACATCCTTTGTTCTCAAAGTTCCTGCCTGTAGATAGCTGGGTTGTTCATGTACCCTTTAAATTCTGCTGGTTTTTTGAAAGGCTCACAGAGACTGGATTTCATTTACTGATCACTGATAGGCTCTGCTGTCATCACATAAAAGTTGCTCTCTGTCTGTACAGTGAAACATCTGTGAGAACCAAAAACATCTGGAACAGTGAGCTTCTCTCTGTGTACTTCCAGCCCCACAAAACTGCCAGGTTAAGGTGCCTTAGAGATGTCTGCAGAAATCATGCCCTCTTGCTGGTGAAGCTGCTGTGTTTGAGGCAGCTCAGGTAGGAGACTGTTATTTTGAAGCAGGTTGGAGTGCTGGTTTGTCTTGCTGGTGGACAGTAAAATATGCATTGACGTCAGAACTGGCTGATCAGCATTCAGTTCATGAAGTGGGTCAGGTTTGTTTCTAACACACTCATACCTTGCCCTTATCAGTAGCTCTCTCCTGATTACCTCCTTTGCTCCTGTTACTCTTGGAACAAAAGCTCCAACGTGGCTTTGTGAAGCCAGGCAGATTGAATTCTGTCAGTAATTTTAGAAGAATGGATTAATTGTGGCTCTGAAGCCAGGATCCCTTCTAAAGGATTTTTAGAGGTACAAACCAGAGGCCACCTCATATTGCTGGGTGCACAGCAGAAGTTGCAGGGGCTCTGGCAGGGAGTTTCCATTTCTCAGATGGCAAATGGGTCTGGAATCTTAGGCCAATTCCATTTTTAACAGGAAAACAGATTCCGTTTAAATTATGTATGTTGAAAAAAAAATTATACCTTCTAAATTCAAGCTTATTCTAAAGGGAGTAATGAGATTGAGAAACAAAATACTGCAAATGTTGAGAGCCAATATTTGCACATTGCACAAACAGGGAGTTTATTCAACTGAACACAATGCTGCAAATGATCCTATTTTTTTTTTAACGTGCAGATTCAGACAAATGTTAAGAAGATCACTCTATTATGTAATCTCAGTTCTCTGATGATGAGTCCATTTCAGTCCTTTTAGAATTCTGGGGCTGGTATATGGGTTTTTTTGAGGGCTGGCACATTTTTTCCTGAGACGTCAGTGATGTTCTTCAAACCCATTTGTCACAAATAAGGAACCTTTACAGTGTTCTTAGGTTAAAAACTACTCCCTTTGGTCCACAAAGATTATGGCAGATCAGCAAGAGTAGAAATAAGGTGGAGGGGTGAAGAGAAAGAATGAGAGAGCAGTGAATGGTTTGTGCTTAATTGAATCCTGGCCATTGTAAGACTCCAAAAAGTGGGACAACTAAACTGACAGTGCAATAATTAAAAATTGAGGCAGCCCAGTGGACCAAGTGTCCCATATCCTATCTAAATTCTGAACTCTTTGAAATGGATGCTATTAATTCCTAAGTTCTTAAGAAATGGTTTAATATCATTTGAAGACATGAGTGTAGAAAGCATAATGGAAACAGAATGAGGTAACCACCGTAATTTATGCAGCCTAACAAATAATGCTGATCTCCCTGCACAGGTAATTATTTTGTCCAACAATAGAATATAATTGGCTTTCTAAAGATAAGAGCAGATGGCTGAAATATGCAACACTGTTTTTAAGTCCTGTGTTATATGAAAAAGTCCAGTGTGAATTAGTTGGGTATCTGGCTCGTCCTGTGGTTTGTATTGTCAATGCATGCTATTTTTTGAGGAGAAATTCATTACTGAAAGACACTGGTGTTCCTTACCCATGGAAAAGGGAAGTTTTAGAACTGCAGATCAAAGGCAGAGTGAAGGAACCATTTTCCAGGTTTATAAGAGACATGCTCCTAGATAAGATGCACAGACTGGTGAGGAATCCTGTGCTGGGTCAGGTCTGTCCAGCAGTGACAGGGTGTAGTCTCATCCCTACCCCCAAACCCTGGCAGCCAGTATTCCTGTATTGCTGCTTATACAGAGTGCATCCTTGGCTACTCACTCTAGTACCAATCATAGACTGCTCAGTCATGGATTTACCTAATAAAACTCAATTTTATGCTGTCCCAAGACCACCAGATGCAAGCCAGTTAGTTGCTGCTGTTCCACCCAGTCAAGCACTGTCTCAGCAGTGTGAGTTCTGCAATACTATTTCTCAGATAAGGAGCAAAGGTAACAGCCTTGCAAGCATCAATTCCAAAATGTACTTGCTCTTGAGCTACTTTGAGTAACCATAAATAAAATTATTATGTGTTACAAAATTAAGCATGTAAAGATAACAGTGAAAAAACACCCAACCAAAAAAAAACCCAACCCCAAATCCTGATTGTAACACAAATCTGAAATTTCTTTTATATTCATTAAACTCTCTACCTTCTTTTGCTGTTCAGGTTGGTTCATGTTTATTTTTTTTGAAGTGGCTTCTGTGTTCACCTTCACCAAGTAGCTAACATTAAGTTCAGTCTGGATAGCCAAAGAGTTTCACCTCCTGAGGAACTGAAATCAAGGCAGGTCGTGCTTTCTATAGCTGTGCTTACAAATACATGTATCTGTATGTGTAAATCTGACAGTGAGATTTATGAGGGTGGCACCTGAGCAGGAGCTGCAGTTCACAGATAACGACTGATATTTATCTGCAGTACTAAGAGGCTGTTGAAAATCTGACAAATTTAAGATAAGTGAATGGAGAGATCAGATTTAATGACACACACACAGATGGCAATATGCTTCTGAGAGGAGAAATTGCTTCGTGCCTCCTGAAGTATTGTCAAGGTTGCCGAGCCAATTATGTGCAAAGAAAAGTCTCCTGAAAGAGAATAAGACAAAAATTCACAACAAAAGTCTATCTGTGATAGGAAAAGGCAGGTGATGTGCAGAGACTGGGGATTTTTGGGTACATTTTGTTGTTTCTCCCTCTGTTATTACAGCTGAATTTGCTTGTTTTTTTCCTCAGAACTGAAGGAGGATGTAAAAGAAAGGATAACATTAATGTTATATTCAGTGTTTCCTCTGGAGATGTGGAATCTGAGCTGACCTTGGCTGTTTGCACCTCTGGAGAAGGGTGACGTGCCAGCCAGGCTGCCATTGTGTAACTGCTCATGCAGCTGTCAGGCATTCTGTGTGCTGGCAGGGCACGACCCTGCCTTGGATCTTTTGTGTGGCCTGACCTTCAGAGAGTCTCTCTGGCATTGTAGCCTCCTTACTGATAGGCAGTGGGACTCTTCTTTGATTATGGACAAATCCCAAAAGTTCATTGCTGTGAGACTGGGTATCTGATTTCCTGACTGAGCAAATACAGTGAGCCTGGGCTGATGTTGGAGATTTAACCTCCTGAGGTTTCCACCTGTACCAGATATTTACAGCAGTGTAAGGTGTTCTCTTGTAACAAAGTATGTTAATTAGACAGCCATAGGGACATTAATAATAATTTTTAAAATATTATTATTTAGGGACATACAATATGAACTCAGGTCCCTTTCAACTCAAACTGTTCTATGATTCTATACCTTATTACATGCTCAGGAAAATCTTGGAAGACAGAAGAAAAAAAAAATGCTCTAAAAGCCTCTTCAGTTCTGGTGTTCCTGAAACAGTTTCTTCCACCTCTGCTCATTTAGGATGTATGTTGCAGGAAGAGTTCTCTTAAAAGAACTGCTGGAGCTCTTGTGTCCTTCTGTTAGGAAAGCAACCAAATACCTTTACTGCTAAGCTCAGTCTAAGTAGTCTAATTCATTCTCCATCCTAACAACTCCAGGTTAACTTTAAGCATGGAAAGTTGTTTAGGATCTCTTAGGGCTTTGATTCTTTGGTTCTCTTGTGGTTTTATAGCTTAGGATGTGTGACGACAGAGCCAGGCTCTTTCCTCTGAGTAACACAACCTGTACAAACAGAAGTAGCTGAAGTGGTACCAGCAGTGCCTGTACTGTCTCTAACCACAGTGCTTATCAGTTTTGCTATCTGCTGATCAGTGCCACGTTGTATTAACATACCTCTGAGGTACTCAGGGCTTGATAGCACTGAATCAACAGCCTGATTGCTGTTTATCAGCACTGTTGACTTTCACAGGATTCCTCGAGCCACGCCAGGGTGCTGTATTGCTCCACAGAAGCCTGGTTAGCTATGAGGGCAAAAACATTATCCTCATAAGAAGAGGGACACCTTCTGTGATATTCTACCACGTCTGGTCCCATAAAAGAACTGCTCAGTTGTGGAAGGGTAAATTTCAGCTGTGGATTGAAAGGGCTGTAGACGATCCCAGCAGTGGAGCTCCCTTCTGAAGCTTTGTGTATTCCCATCCTCGTTGCCTTTGGCACAGCTCCTTCCTCCCATCTCCAAAATTGATGCTTTTGTTGTGGAAAATTTGTTGTGTAGTCAAGAGTAGAGAGCACCTAAAGAAAACTCAGGAAATCTCAAATCCAGTCCTGGATCTCAGCTCTCTTTTGGCAAGTAAATAAGCTCTTCTCTCTGCATGATTGTCAGTTTGTTGAATTTTAGTGATAGCTGTTTATAAACTTGGATTTAGCAAACTGCTAGAAGTTTACTCAAAACTCCTACAGGTTGTGAAGTTTTGCAGAGTGTTTTACAAATTATGTAGCTGTGGTGACAACAGCAGCCTAGGACATGCAGCATCCCAGTATTTTCAGTGGGAGTACTGATAAAAGGATTTGTTATGGAGGCTTTCATAAATGAAAAATGAGCTTTTTGGCCTAGTCCATGCATGTCATTATGCTTTGTCGTGCAGCTGGAGTTGGGAGTGACTTTCCCCTTAATTTCTCCACAGATTTTGGATTTGGGAATTTCTATAAGAGCGGTGAGCCTCTGACGACGTGGTGTGGGAGCCCCCCCTATGCAGCCCCAGAGGTCTTTGAAGGACAGCAATACGAGGGACCCCAGCTGGATATCTGGGTATCATTATTCTTTTTTTTTTAACTGGATTCAAGTCTGCTTTTAGGAAGCTGTAACAAAGGAATCATCTTTGATTTTTCTTAAGCTGCAGACAAGGTGTTCCTCATCAGCTTTATTGCTTGGGTGTCATAAAATGCCTCTTAACATTGAACAGAATTGAAGTTACCTATCCAGGTGGCTATTAAATGTACACTCTAGGTGTATGTTCATCCACTAGAGGAAAAACTGTAGCTCCTGCAGAAGCTCTCCTGACTGAACTTGGCTTTTTTTTTCTGTGTTAAGTGGGAGTTGAACTTGTAAGGTTGTAAGCTGTCAATGAGGTTGAAGGGATTCTGAGCCGCTGACACACAGGAGAGGTGCTGACTGGTTTGCTCTTTGAGCTGGAAACCAGCACTTTTGTGCCACAAACATTTTCTACTGCAGGCAGCTGTGTGTTTTTGAGTCAGCCTGTCTCCAGGCTTTAATGGAAGGGGACAGAGAGCACAACCCACATACTTAGGCAATTGAAAAGAGACTAAAATGAACTGGAGTTCTGTGCACCCTTCATACGTTGTCAAAGACTTTTTTCACTCCTAATTTGTTTTTGTTTGGAGCTGTTTGGTAGTTTAATTTTAGTATTCTGGTGCTTACAATGAGAGATTCATACCCTAAAGCAAACAGTACAATTCAGCAGTCTCTGGCGTGGCATCAGGTTTGCAGTGATAATGCACATAGCATAACAACACAAGCACTGACAGTTTGGTCAGAGCCTGTTACACAAACAGGGCAGGACAGTCCATGGAAAGTCACCATTTGGCTGCTAATCTAATTTAAATTAAGCTAACAGCATTAACAAATACATATATTTGTGTGTATCAGCATAGCATATACATATATATGCAGCTAGCCAGATTTATTGGGTTTTTTTTGAAAAGGTTAAAGCCTTTCTGAACCTTTAGTCAAGTGGTGAATAAACTTAGAGCAGACCTTAGCTACACTTACTGATTCTAGTAGCACAGACACTATTTGAATGTCACAAGTCAGTCTCTAAGCTTTGGTAAATATTCTTTAAATATGCAAGATCCTAAATCATTAAACAGAATCTGCCTGCCCACAGAGAAGTGCATGTATGCTTATATTTAAGAGAAAATCATCATCATCTTCACTTATCTATGGAGAGGAGTTAAGGATTCTGCATCTTTGCAACATCCAGTCACAGAGCAGGTCTGCTGGAAGTGCTAAGCTTGCAGGAGGAATGGAACAATCAACAAATAAACAAAAGAAAGTGACTTTTTACAATTTATATTGAAAGTCTCTGGGTATTTATGAAGGTTTAAGGTGCATGTTGAATGCCTGCTTTTTTCCCCTTGACAAATCCAGTGCTGTGGCTGTCTGTGCCAGCTGAGTGGCACGAGGATCTGGTGTGGTTAGTTCATCCAGGGTGGCACTGTGTTGTTTTGGCATGTACTACAAGACTATTTCCACTTGCCGTGCCAATTAACTCACTTCCAAAAACCAGTCTGGCAGTTGGAGGAGAACTCTGGCCCAGATGATCTCCTTTTGCTCACACTGGCTAATCCCTCATGCCCAGCACTGCACACAGCAGTGATTAGTTGGTGCTCCTCTCAAGCTGACTGTCCCTGAAGCTACCAGTGTGCCTCTTGCCCAGGCTCTTGCAAACTGATAAACTTAAAAGGTCACAGTTTCTTATTTTGGGTGGCTGCTGTCTGAGGTTTGTTTTTGTCTGAACAACGTTGAGATTAATGACAAGTATCTCTAATTCTCACCTGAAGTTGGGACTCGCTTTTCAGGTATCATTCAGTCCTCTGCGTGGAGCTCCCTGCTAGCAGCCAGAGTCTCTAACCCATTACACTTCAGCTTACCTGCTTATCAGCACAAGGTACTGCAAGCCTAGCCATTTTGGGTTAGCTGAGTGTTCTTAATGTTTAGGGCTCTTCAGCAATCTAACTCCTTTCTGTATACATTTCCTGTTTCTGCAGAATGTCATTTTAATTTTCCCTGCGACAGGATTTGGGTAGCCAGCCTCAGAGCCTTGGCCTGTGGCTGCAAATGTGAAATCAATCTCCTCTCTCTTCCAGAGCATGGGGGTAGTTCTTTATGTTTTGGTGTGTGGAGCATTACCTTTTGATGGACCAACACTCCCCATACTGAGGCAACGAGTTCTTGAAGGAAGGTTCAGGATCCCCTATTTTATGTCAGAAGGTAACAGTCTGTCCTTTTACACTCCTAGTGTGGTAAACCTTTGGTTATTATACATTCTGGTATTTATTCTAAAGTTTTATATCTTTTATATAACAGCATAAGCAGCTTAAAAGAGGTATTAAATATTGCTGTTAGCCTCATGGGGGAGAAACTGGGCTTTTGTCCTTCTTAATGTGACTTTCAATCTTGTTTTGAGAGATTATTTTAGCCTTCAGGAAATGTGTTTAGCCCAGAAGCAAGGCAGTTTCATGTTCTCTATGGGTAGGTCTCAGGTGAATACATGCAACTACCACTTAGCAGGTTCTAATTTTTTGGTTTTCTCAACAGAGTGTGAACATCTGATCAGAAGAATGTTGGTCTTGGACCCATCCAAACGGTTAACTATTGCTCAGATTAAGGAGCACAAGTGGATGCTTATAGAAGTTCCTGCACAGAGACCTATTCTTTATCCACCAGGAGAGGAGAATGAGCCTTCCATTGGAGAGTATAATGAGCAGGTCCTACGACTAATGCACAGCCTTGGAATAGACCAACAGAAAACTATTGAGGTAAAATAGACTCAAAATGGGTGCTTGTCCCTGGTGGGAAGCTCTCCTGTTTTATTTTTATGACTAGAACTTATTACCTGAATTGTTTGCAACATTCTTTATTTCAGCAGTTGAGGGGGGGGGGAACCAATACAAAAAACCTGGTGGTTTCTTTTGCCTAGTGACTTGGAATGGCCAATGATTCAGGAGGTCCTGGAGCTCAGTCCCTCCTCTGGGTTCAAATCTTTTAGTGTTCAGAGTAGCACCTGAATGTTAGCTACAAGTACTGCTGCAGCCCAGCACACAGCAAGCTCCTGGGAGCTCACCACTAAACTTAAAGGTGATGCTTTTCCTTCCCTGGCACTTAGGTTTGAAACTTTCCCAAGTCAGAAAAATGTTTCCTTATCCCACTGCCTCTTAAATGATTTTAATTTTTCCTAGGTGGTAGTTCTTTCTTCCTGGTCTTGTAGCAGATAATACCTATTTGGCTGCACTCACACGTTTCTACTTCTCTTTTTCAGTCCCTGCAGAACAAGAGTTACAACCACTTTGCTGCTATCTATTACTTGCTAGTGGAAAGACTCAAATCCCATCGGAGTAGCTTCCCTGTGGAGCAGAGACTTGATGCTCGGCAGCGTCGGCCAAGCACCATCGCCGAGCAGACAGTAGCCAAGGTAAGGTCTCCTTCCTGGCTCAGGGCTCTGCAAGGCATCCTCCTCCTTCAAAAATGGTGCTTGGACAGAGGTTCTCTAGAATCTATTGCTATTTTCTGATTTCTATGGTATGTAGACTTGCAGTATCATTTTGGAAAGACATCTTTGGATTTGCCTCCTGTCAGAACTGTATCAATATCAAATCAGTTGTCTGGCATGCCTCCTACAAATGTTCCTGCTGCCTCCTCCCCAGCCCCCCAAAAAGGAATGAAAAAAAAAAGAGTTTGGAAGGGTCTGTAAGTTAGAAATGACAAAGGGAAGTTGACTGCATTCTGAAGCCCAAAATACAAAATTTTGGGTTTAATGGGTATCTGTGTGGCTTAACCTTAACTCCCTGTTTATTTCCCAATTAAAAGACTGTTTGTGCTTCTAATTGGAACACTTCCATTTTTGAGCATTTCAAACCTTTTTCTGGGAAGTCACAGGTTAAAAAGTTAGAGAAATACCATTTCTGGAGACTGTGCAACACTTGGAGTATCTTTTAATGTGATTGACAAATGAGTTGTTGAATTTATGGATAGCTGTGCTAGCATGGGGGCTAAAAGCATGCAGGCTCTAGTTAGTGTTACAAGCATAGTCACTCTAAAGGGACCTGTTCAAAATCAAATTACTTTTTCCCCTGCTGTTCTCTAGATACACTTTCTGTCTCCCATGAAATGAAGCATGGCAAAGAATAGCAAAGAGGTACCCTAAAGAAAATATTAAGATCAACATATCAGGTTAAAATGCCAATTTACTGTGTTATCTTAACTACCTGATAAAGATACCATTGTCATGAGACTTAATGGCTCAAGACTCAGAGATTTGTTCTTAAATAATGCAATTTCTTTTAAGATTTGCTCCACTTTCTCCTTCTGTGACCCAGCAAGAGGCCAATTTCATGGGAGACTTCGCAGCACGGCGCCAAAACCTTTATGTGCACAGAGCCAACATGATGACTAATTGATTTAAGTCTTAAGGATGTCACGTGTATTTTATCAAGAGCAATTCTGGGTGTTCCTTGCATCTGGTGCCAGCCCTTCCACTGCTGAAGGCTGTCCACTTAGTATCCCCTCTAATTACACTGCCTGATTCAGCACAGGCTGTAAGGCTATTCAGTCTGCTCCTGTCCTAGCAATTTTCTTGAGAAAGAAAGGTCATGTACAGTTTATCATGTCTTATTGGACTAATTATCAGATTTTTTTTGTGTTCTTTTGTTTCATTAAGACACAGGCGTTGTACAGCTTTTCATTTCTGTTAAAGCATAAGTGGAAACATGAAAGACTTGGCCTAAGATGACTCAGATTTATCATGGTCTCAAGTAAATATTCTCTCCAGTTCACAGCCTCCCAGATACTGTATTGCTGCTGTGTACAACAAGTGCCCAGACTCCATTTCCAGGACAAACCACAACCATGCTGCTCCTTTTTTTGCTTGAGGCAGCAAGACAATATTCAGTTTTGGATTCTGTTGAGAGGAAAGCCAAATAGCTTTAGCCATGAAAACATAATCTGTGTCAGCCACAGTGTTCCTTGACCTAAAACCAGCTCTTTCCTTAGCTGGTAGTTCTAATGGTAGAAAGACACAGTATTCAAAAACAGTTTATTAATTGTAATATCTATTTGAAGCAGGTGGAGATAGATGAAAAAGGAGGAAGAATAAACCTCCTAGAAGGTAGTTCCTTCTTATACTAAATTCCTGTACTTCACAGCCACAGGACTAGTTTTTCCTCAAGGACTGAAAAACCATTTTGCACTTACCCTGAGTAAAAAGATAATTTGTTTTCACACATGGTGGCACCACAGGCTCCTCTATAAGGCTGCTTGTTTCCTGTTGGACAGCCAAATTGTGTGGATACTACACTTCAGGGAGTTAAGGTTAAAAAAACAGTGAAAATGACCATTTTCCTAACTGTGCCATGCTTCCCATCCCTGGAGCACACAACTCCCTTCAACAGTGGTCCCTCAGTTGACAGACCTTTCAGATCCAGCCTGCTCTATTCATTCTCAGGCTTTTCCCTAC